CCTCGCGTACTCAACATTCGCCAGCATCTGGCGGGCGCTCGTCCCCGGGCTTCAGGGATACCACTTCTTTCCGTCCGGACTATAAACACCTCTCAGTGAATTTGTTAGAAAGGTTGCTGACTGAGGCCATTATTCAGCGCGACTGTGCGGCCGTTTCTGGTCTTGTTGCCAACTGGCCAGGAGCGCGTTTGAACGTTCGAGGGCTTCTGCCAAAGGAAGACTTTCCTCTGACTCGAGGCTATCTCACAAAACCGGTTTTCGTCACTTCCAACCCAGACTCTGCTGACCTCGCCTCCACCGACGTTCTGAAGGGTCCGAGTCTTCTTGATGCGCTGATTATCGGTATCTTATCCCGACAACCTACCTGTGCACTTCGAGTGATTGATTTCAGCGGTTTTGACGAAGGTGAGTTTTAGGCAAGGCTTTGTTTTATAAATTCTCACCTAGTTTTCGACATCAATACTTTTTTCAGGTTAGTTCTTTAGTTCAAGTGACAATGATCGATGTGAGGTTGAAGTTATATTAGTCTTGTGTCGAGTTATTGTACTTCGTAATGGATTGATGATATTGTTAGTTTGGGTTGAATTATATAACCAAAACATCAAGCCAACTCACGCGACTAAGGTAATTTGGCCTAAATTCACGCACCCCAGATTGAGTGCTTATTACTGGAATTTTCGCTGCCCCATTCAACCAGCCTGTGAATGCCTCCAGGTGAAGCTGAAGAATTTCACTGAGAGTATTGGTCTGGCATTTATGTACCGAAATCTTTGCACATCATTTCCAGCAAATTCAGGGCGTCACCTCAAGCACGACCTCCCACTTTTGATGTGTCGTTAGCACATGACAAGTGACACTGTGTTTTGTGTTACCTCTTCCTCATTATCCGTTCTCGTCAACGGGGTACGCATTGGTGAAAAAAAAAATCGATCCAAGTTCGCATTTTGCCCTCGGCCCAAACCACGATTTAGTTGTTACTTTACCCAGCGTTTGAACCAAGGTAAAACGTTAGCGTGAACCCGATGCCTTCCAATAGGTTACTTGTGTGTATGATCATGACATCTAGACTCTTTTGCTCCTCAGATTACTCAAAAATGTGAACTTATGATTATTCTACTCTTTAATAGAGTTGGATTTTTAAAATTTGAATTTATTAATAACGGGCAGTAGTCCGAATCCATATGTAATTCAATATGTAATTCATTGCCATATGCCCAAGAAACATCTTTCTAAATACATCAAACTCACAAAAGTCCACGAGAGAATTTCCTTCTGACACAGCAGCTTTGCAATATTCTGCGGTCCTGTCTGTCACTCGTTATCTAAATATTCTAACCGGGTGATATGCTATCTTCTACCATGACATAAATTGCCTGTGGTATAATTTATTGTGAGACAAACAATCGAATCTGTGTACTCACTCCATGTACCACTTCGCGTTTATAAAGTGTACGAGTGAAATAAGGCAACTTATTTTCACATATTTTCTGCTTAGTCAGAGAGAAGTTTTCAGCAGTGGTTGAACTCAAACTGACCAATCTCTAAGGAAACGTGTGCCACAATTACCTCACCGAAGTACTATCGGTTTCTTCTGAATATTACCACTTTAGACCGAAGGGTGAGCATTGAATTGTCAAGAATTCCACTGCTATGGATGAGCCCAGATAGGCGAAGTTCAGAAGACGTGCGACGGCAAATTCGAGGCAGCCTGCAGTTGACCATTCAGGATCAGCGGTTTGATCGTTATTTTACCCGGATTTCAACCATTTATAACCTTCATGAGGGAGACTTTTGTCATGAGGAAAATTTCGGTAGGTGAAATGACAAGTACTGTTGCCAATTGGGCTAATCGAATTCTCGTTCCTGTTACTGTGTTCTTCTCGGATCGCATTAGTCCACAATGAGTTTGTAATTTGCCATGATTTTAGGATTTTCACCACTTTAAAATTGCCGATAAAATAGGTCGAGCTTCCTATTTTTTCCCCGAAACGACATTTTTATCCCAATTAATTGGGTTCGAGGTGGGGTTTTTGGGAAGTTACTTTTTGCGTTCACCTTGCAATAATGGTGTGAGATTTCAAAGGGATCACATCACTTTGTTGCCCAATTATCACTTTTGGGGTCCATTTACTATACCGGCATTACTCACTCTAAAGTTATTAACGATTTGAGTCGATTTCAGCTAGGATCAAATCAAGAATGCGTAAGCGACACAAAGCTATTCAGGTCTATGGCCTGCAAAAATACATTTTTTGAAGGCAAATTAATAAAATGCCAATCAATTTGGGGCATTCATTCTGCATGCTCCAGTAATTGTACTTTGCCGAACACTGCGAAAATTGAAGTTTGTGGGCATCCTGAGCCCTTTCTTTTGATCAATTTTACAAACTACGTTTGTATCTCTCAATTTCCTTGCTCAGATCCATTGACTATATGCATGGACTGCAATATGTCCGTTGACGAAGTTGCATTTGGTCTCGCTCTGCAAAATGTAACGCCATTTCGCTTCTCCTGCAACCGACTTCTCATGCGACGTCTCCCAGAGCTTCGTCTTCCTGTGTTCAACCTAATCCGGCTTCTTGATCCTTTGGTAAATGCTTCCTTTTTCTTTCTGTGCTGGTTAGCTGAAGTCAGCTTCCCAATTCGTTGACCACATCCACCAAACGCCTTTAAATTCGACTGTCGCGAAACTTGACCAAAGAGTGTAGCCGTATGGTACACACCCACACCCACACATTTTGTACTCCTTTCGATTTAGTCTATTACCCAATTTGAGTTGGAAGATCCAGAACTAGGAGCTGGTTCCATGGGAGTTCTACCTTCTGCCCTCGGCTGGATAGCAAGTCTGCGTAATTTACGGGCCTGTGCTCTGCCTGCGTGTATCCCCCCGCCCCGCACCGCCGTGACCGCCTCGTCCGTCTTAGCGACCACAAGTGCGAACCTGGGGGCCTGTCGCCTACTCAATCGTTCTCTCATCTCCCTACGGCATTTGCAACGTCTCAGTCTGGCGCGCTGTTACCTTCAGGGGCAATTGCAGTTGTTGCTCGGAGGACTTAGTCAACCACTGGAGTATCTAAATTTACAAGTATGTTTGTGTTTGTGTTTAGCTCCTCCCCTTAGCTCGTAGAGTTCTACATAGATCTTTCGTTACAAATTAGGTTATTTAAGACGAATTGAATAATGGGCGATTTTCCCACGCACAAATTAATATGAAATGTTCATTTTGCAAAAAAAAAACTGAATAATTAGAGGCATGGGCTCCTAACGGTGGTACCGTGGCCGCAATTCTAACCAAATTGGCTGATAATCCTGTCTCGACGTGACACCTTGTGAAAAAACCAACATCAACACAAAACCGCCATCATATGAACGCCTACGATCCAAAAACAACTTCTTTTAGGACTGCTGCTTGTGCGCAGATGACATTGAGTTTCTGGCCTTTAACTGGCGCCCCCTGACGGGACTCTATGAGCTGAACATCGCGCGCAACAATCTTGCCCGCGTGCCTGAGGCGACGCTGGCTCACCTTTTTGGGCAGACCTGCTTCAGTCACATCGGTCATCTCACGTGCCTCTCGCTCGCCTACACGTGCCTCTCA